AGTAGTAGTATAGCAGCAGCAGCAGCAGCAGTAGTAGTATAGCAGCAGCTGCAGCAGTAGTAGTATAGCAGCAGCAGCAACAGTAGTAGTATAGCAGCAGCAGCAGCTGTAATAGTATAGCAGCAGCAGTAGTAGTATAGCAGCAGCTGCAGCAGTAGTAGTATAGCAGCAGCAGCAACAGTAGTAGTATAGCAGCAGCAGCAGCTGTAATAGTATAGCAGCAGCAGTAGTAGTATAGCAGCAGCAGCAGCACCAGTCGTAGTATAGCAGCAGCAGCAGCAACACCAGTAGTAGTATAGCAGCAGCAGTAGTAGTATAGTATAGCAGCAGCAGTAGTAGTAGTACAGTATAGCAGCAACAGCAGCAGCAGCAGCAGCAGCAAGAGCAGTACAGCAGTACCGATAGAACCTCAGGGTGCGAAATTAAGTTTTGGAGTCCAATACTCCGTGATTTACTGTCGGACTCCCTGATTTGACATATGCAGGAGTCCGTGTGACTCCCTGAAAATTATGCCATACCAACTAGTTCGTTCCGGAGCACGGCCTCGCGGAATTAGTGTATTTTTTCAGCTAATGTCCAAAGAAAATTTGGCAGACGTGCAACTGCATGAATCTTAAAAATAAGCACATGTATGCGTTATTGTTAATATCTTTAATTTCAAACCTCAGACTGCGGACTCCCTCATTTTGCTGCAGACTCCCTCTTTTTGAGGGTAGGGAGTCCGTTGGAGTCCTTGTTCAAAAGTTAATTTCTACCCCTGGAACCTGTGGCTGTATTAGTAGTAAAATCTTCATTACCTTGCACATGATATACGAGAGGATGGCTCCACTGGAGCCAATCAGAGCACCGACGATCGTCATGAGGTTGTTGTTCATCATGAATCCCTCAGCGCACAGAGCCCAGCCCGAGTAGCTGTTCAGCACTGTGATGACCACCGGCATGTCGGCACCTGTCGGCAACAAACACAGGGGTGGTTGTCACCAGAACTATGCCCACTGTCGCGATATTAGTAGAATATTTACTCATCGCCTTCCGTCTTCCCAGCATATGGAGGGATGGGCATGGCAAATATGCGCCAACAAAATTCAGGTGTAAGACGTTAGTTAGATGTTCAGCCATCGCCGTCAACTATGAGGTTAGTTGTTATGTGTCGACAGAACTTCATCCAGTGGCAACTATCTTAGCAGTAAAAAATTCAGCCATCGAAAGATGCATGTCCAACATGAATTTAGTCTAACATTACAAATCTATAAAATATGCACTCTAACGTCGTGCCTTTTACAGGCACATTAGTCTATAGGCAATACCTCCGATGGCAGCAGTCAGAGTTACACCCATGACGGACGACAGCACAGCTGTGGTCAACAAGCAGCCAAGGTCTAGGCTGTAGGATGGGTCAGCCATGTACCAGATCATCGCACCAATGTTGGCCGCACCCAAACCAAGGTTGATCATGTGGCGGCCAGGGAGGAGCAGGGGAGAAGAGTCCAGCAGTCCTGTGGGGGAGGAAGATGGAACCAAAGCACTTGAATTTAAAATGATAACTTGTAAGGATACGTTGCAGATTATGTTATATTCCATAAAAAGTGCACCATAACAAATGTGATGCATAACCATAAAAAATATCAATACCTGTCTACATTCCGGTGTGTTGTTACAGGGCTACAATTAAAATAAATGCTTAGAATGTCGATTTTGACATCTGTTCAACTTTGAAGGCAAGTTACAGCAGATATAAGCTTTTAAATTCAAACAAATTTCATTATTTTACATTTCTAATCGCGCACTTCTGATACCATGTAACACAAAACCATTATATGAGATACTACACGTACTAGGCATAACGTGTAATAGCCTCATTAAGTCTTATGTAACGCACATACACATGTTCACATATACGTACGTACACAGTTACGTACATACCCTGCAGTTTGCCGTAGGCGACTAGAGAACCGCTGAAGGTGACGCCGCCGATGTACGTTCCGAGGAACAGGGCGGTCTTGATGACGTTGGCCGATGGGTCGGTGGCGAATGTCGGGTACTCGTGCATGTAGGTGGCGAGGCACGTCAGTACAGCGGCCATGCCGACGAAGCTGTGGAAGAGAGCGACGAGCTGCGGCAGGTCGGTCACCTCGATGCGCTTGGCGATCGTCAGACCGATGCCGCCGCCTGCGTAACGAAAAACAAACATTGCGATTAGAGGCGTCTTGCCGCACTTTAACTTCATACTGCATTACATTTACTGTTACAAAAACTACTGTTATCTTCATTATTTACTATATTATCCTATATGTTTATTACTTATATTATGCTCTACATATTCTCTTCACATGAACACTCTAATATTACATACTATTATACATATTATATATCTCATATATAACAATTTTAATTACTACAATAAATATTAACATCTCATTACTATATTACTTAGGCCTATACATTACGATTAACTTTGACTGTTTTATGCAGAAACAAATGTCGAATTATTTGTAGATATTTCATTATTTCTCACTTATCAGAATTTTCACGATTCTGCACGCGTCTGATATCAGGCTTCAACGAGGCGATTGCTTACCAATTCCCATGCAACCGGCAATCTGTGCGTACACCTCGGGCGAGATGTCGAGGGTCGCAAGGGTTCCAACGATGCCACCCGTTACACCGATCATCCCGAGAGCATTGCCCGTACGACAGGTCGACTGCGTGGACAGACCACCGAGGGCTCCAACGCAGCACAGTGACGACGCTAGGTACATCATCTGCAGACGGACACAAATGTGTACACTTGGACCACGCATGCACTGATCGATGTTTATTAATTGTTTTGAGAGTGATCCAGTTGTGTTTTTTTGTTATAAAATTTTACTGATTTTTTGCAATCGACTTTTTCATTTTAAATATACACATTAGCTGCAGAACTTTAGCAAACTTGAACTAAATCACAAGAAACTTGCAGAAGTCACAGTCAACCTTGAGATCATTAACTGCTGCCCACATGTAGCCTGTGCTACAGATGACTATTAATTTACCTGATGAACGTTCGAGTAGTCGTTATAGGCAGCTGCACCGTACGCAGCTAGGAAGAGTCCTGCTGGGAGCGCGTACAGGTAGTTATACTCCGGTGGATCCGCTGCAAGCATCAAAACGTGCATTCTTTCAAACAGTGATTAGCAGAACACTTCGTTACATGTTCGCTGCAAGATGTCACAGAGTGAAGATGCAGAAGGGGGGAAGAAAAAGGAGAGGGAGAGGGAGAGGGAAAGAGAGAGAAAAAGAGAGACAGAGAGAGAGAGAGAGAGACAGAGAGAGAGAGCGAGATCCAATATCCAATAACCAATATCACGAGCATAGGTCAAGTAATTTACATTTGTGCCACAATTCCACATATTCCTCCTATACCTGAAGTTAAGAGGGAATTAAAAAATTAATTAAAAATCTGAAAAGAAGTAAGATTGAAATCTACCTCTAACATTTGGCCCGCCCCTTCCCAACCATGCCTCACACTCGCATCAACCCAGACAGCATAAAAAATCGAGCTTGACCTAAATTTAGATTCGCATGACAGAAATACTTGTAAAGAACTTGCAGGGATGTACACTATGAACTCACTCGGTCGCTTAAACATATCCAACATTCTCTTTGTGATCAGGAAACCACCAGTGATGTTGATGCTAGAGATGAAACAGGCAATGGCTCCCAGGATCTAAGAAAAGAAGAACACTCCTGTTAGGAATAGAGCTGCTAGCAGAAAATATAGCATATGGGGTCAGCTGTCATCATACATGACTGATTGACAAACTGATCGTGAAAGATTATCACCTCAAATCAAATCAAAGATACCAAGGAACACATTCTCACTTCACAGTGAATTCTTATGATCGTGAAATATTTTCAATATCTGTGTGTGTGACCTATTACCAGATCTTTTCAGCTTCAGCTTACCTGTGGCGTTGTCTGGGGCATGTAGGTGCCTCCCATCATGAGGATACCACCAACAGCGGTGATGCCAGAGATGGCATTTGTGACAGACATCAAGGGCGAGTGAAGGGCTGGCACAACCCCCCAAACGGTGTGGTAGCCTGCAGGCAAGTAGCAAAAGCAATAAGCATGCCACAGAATTTAGGCGGCAAACTGACTTATTAGAACAAAATGCTCCGTGCTAGTCATACTGACTTGAATTTTATATAACAACCTAATTTTGTAAGAAACTGAAACCAAAATGGTAGTAACTGAAAAGCAATCTAGTTCCCTTAAATACATAACTTACCGACAATGCCAGCCAAGCCGAATGTGGTACACATTGTTGTGAAAGACGCTTCTGGTGCTAAAGCACCAAATCCAACAATTCCAGTGAGACCTGCAAAGGGAAAACGAGTCCTTCAGGATATATCACCACTCAAAAAATCCATAACCATTGCTAGTGCAGTACAACTAATACATAACAGATCACCCCATAAAATCAAAAACATTTTTGCACGTTCTACTCCTTCTAAAATAGCCCTTATATTCTTTAAACCTATAACGTTTAACTCGCGACAACGACGGTACCGTGAGACTACTGACCTGTGCTGTACACCAGCGATTGATTCAGTCTGTCCTTGAATGGATTCACCTCAGCCTTCTTCACAATGGCGGATCCAGCTTTGGCAGCGACGACCGGCTGCACAATCTCCTTCGGCGGCGGCGGCGGCCACATCAACTCGCCATTGTGAAGAACCATCGATCCACGCACAACCTCATCCTCCATGTCGAGGTAATAATTCTCCTTTCCATCACCTAAATGGGAGAAAAACGCGACGTCAGCACACACGCACGCACGCAGCACGCAGCATGCACGCACACACACCACTATGAGATGTGAGGTATGCAAACAGTGAAGGGTACATGAATCTCTCTGCATCTAATATACAGGGATGGGAATGACAATTTGTGTTTTCAGCTGAAAATAGCCGGGGTCCAGCGGGGAAGGGGCGGTCAGGTCCAGGGCGAAGCCTGGTTAGGGGGTTCAGGAAGTTTTTGCATTTTCACAACTTACAAGGCAAAAAATTGCATTAGGAGACACATACAGAACAGAATTGTTACAGAGCATATTACAGTACACTGCAGGAAGTATATCTTGCACTGTCATTATCATAACATCAGAATTAATAATCAATACAAAAATTTACTTACATTCTGCAAACAAAATCATTTTAATGTACACTTCCACACTATCCCAAAGGCTAACCTTTATAGAGTATAAGATGTTCATTGTCCAGGCAGTTTCAAATTTGTTTCTGGTCACTACAGTAGATATTTTATCATATTGAACAACTTTAGCGGCTTGTCCTGCTGCCAAGGCAAGTCTGTGAGCCCCACAGTGATCAGACATCAGGAAAGGAAAACGCTTTATTTGCTACGCCAAAGGTTGCCCAAAAATCCTCCCTTGCGCGCACGATAGAATATTCCTAACAACCTAGGAGCTAGGGCTCGATCGCACAACATTAATGGTTTATGGTTATGTATGGCACCTTTTATGGTTATGTATATATGTATTATAAACAGAACTTCGTTGGCGAGAAGTGAAATAGTTCGTACCTACGTTTCCTACCACGTGAAACAGTCGCAGAGCCTGGGCCGGCTACTTCATAAAACGAGCCTCAAGGCCACGCGTGACGCGGCGGCTTTTGATGTACACGATCGATCGATCGCGTACTATATACGGCCTGCGTAGCACGCGCGGCACACATACACACAAACTTGCAGCGTCAAATAAACGCACACACTGGCCAACGTCTGACAATCTCAAACAGTGAACTATAGTCCAGGCATTTTATGATTCGACCATTACCAAAAGAAGCTTTTTCAACGGTTTCGTATCTCGAGGAACATGTCCTCTATAAATATCAAAAGTCCGTGCTCGAAATAAAAAAAAATGTGGTTGTCCTGCGGACAACCCAGCATCAAATCGGTTGTCCGCAACAATTCTGGTTGTCCCAAAAAATAATCCCCAAATCTCCATTTTCAATCACATATATTGGTCAGAAAACACCAAAAACAGTGGTGTAGCCAGGATTTCTTAACAAGGTGCCAAAACAGCAAACTGCGCAAAAATAGTGATGACTTAATTTTAATGGCTCCTGCGCCTCCCTCTCCACACCGCTCCTCTACCTTCTCTGCCAATCTTTGTTTTTGGGTGCCATGTGAAAAGGCGCATTTTGTTCATTGTTCTCTGCTCCAAGATATGTATTTGTTCAGTGGCGGTCTGGATTCAGGAGGGGTGAAAAAAAGCGGGGGTATGGGGTCCTCCCCAGAAAAATTTGAAAATGTAGATGCGAGATGGTATTTGCAGCACTTTTGAGACATGTACAGCCTTCATTCTGACTCGACAATTCTCTTTTTTTAACTTTCGCATCAACATGAATCCCACTGCAGTTGTTTGTTTTGCAAATTGCATGGGCAAAGCCATCGTAAATTCAAATAATAATGAATAAATACAAAATGTAGGGGTGAACTTGCTGGTTTGCTGGTTCCAAATCGAGTTCACCTCATAAATCAGAACACCTGACAAGTACAGTGTTGGAAATAGCAGCTGGTATGCGTCGCTTTCCCACACCATAGATTAATGGCGGGCCATCGAAGCTATAAGTGCTCTTGGAGAACACTGAGAAAACTAAATAAATGCGTTTTTTCGTCAATTTTTTCTTGGTGTCCACCGGACAATGCTCCGACTGGTTAGTTTCCGGCACAAATTCTGGTTGTCTCGGACAACCGACAACGCTTATTTCGAGCACTGCAAAAGTTCTCTGAAAGTCTCTGCTAGGGAGTTGATTAAAAACGGGTTTATACACCCATTCAATTCCGCGTCGAAACGAGGCTGAATTAAAATAACACTAAAAATGACGTATAGGAGTAATTTACCCAAACACGACAAAAGTCAGTCATTGTCTAAATTATATTATCTGGTTTATCAAAAGCCATTGTTTTGTGGGTCTTTTTCATTTTTTTGAGTATAAGTCCATTCAAAATGAACTGGAAAAAAGACCTGTCCACGAGAGTACACGCAAAATATCGTAAGTAATTGTAAACTAGTAACTATTACTGGTTACTGTTTTTGTTTTTCGTCTTCTAATATTTATCAAAGGGTATATATACGCTAATCTCCTAACAATTATGGGTCTAGCTCTGTATTTTTATCCTGCAGCGTGTGTCACAGGACTTGCAGGAGTCGCTAGTCGCATGCATACAAGCTGCACGATTCATGCTGCATGGATTGAAGAGAATGGACGGACGGAACGGAGGAGGGAGGGAGGGTGGAGGGAGGAGAGAGGGAGGAGGAGGAGGAGGGAACGGGTGGGAGGAGGAGGGAGTTCACCGCACACGTGATGGCCATACTAAACACAGCTCATCCACGCGCTAGCAGCTAGATTCATAGGTGAGGGAGGAGGGAGGGAGGGAGGAGTGTGGGAGGGAGGGAGGGAGAGGGAGGAGGATGTGAGGAGGGAGGGAGGAGGAGAGGAGAAGGATGGAGGAGAAGGGAGGAGGAGGAGGGAGGAAGGAGGGAGGTGGAGGGAGAGGAGGCGGGGAGGAGGAAGGAGGAGGATGGAGGAGTTTACCGCACACGTGATGCGGCCATACTCAACAAAGGTCCATCCACGCGCTAGCAGCTCTAGTTCATAGGGAGGAGAGCAGGGAGGGAGGAGCGGAGGGTGGAGAGAGGGAGGATGGAGGAGGAAGGGAGGAGGGAGGGAGGGAGGGAAGAGGGAGGGAGGAGGATGAAGGAGTTTACCGCACCGTGATGGCCATACTCAACAAAGCTCATCCACGCCGCTAGCAGCTTGTTCATAGTGAGGAGGAGGGAGGAGGTGAGAGAGGGAGGGGAGTGGAGGAGGTAGGAGCGCAGGGGAGGAGAATTGGAGGAGGGTGGGAGAGGAGGAGTTCACCGCACACATGATGGCCATACTCAACAAGGCTCCATCCACGCCGCTAGCAGCTCTAGCTTCATAGGTGAGGGAGGAGGGAGGAGTGTGGAGGGAGGAGAGGGAGGAGGGAGGGAGTGAGGAGGAGGAGGAGGGGAGGATGAGGAGGTGGAGGAGGAGGAGGGAGGGGGGAGGGAGGAAGGATGGAGGAGGAAGGAGGAGGGAGGAGGAAGGGAGGAGATGGAGGAGTTTACCGCCGCACACGTGATGGCCATATCACAAAGGCTCATCCACGCCGATAGCATTCTAGCTCATAGGTGAGGAGAAGGAGGAGTGTGGATGGAGGAGAGGAGAGGGAAGAGGAGGAGGAGAGGGAGGAGGGAGGAGGTGGAGAGAGGGAGGGAGAGGGAGGAGGAGGATGGAGGGAGTTTTACCGCACATGATGGCCATACTCAACAAAGGCTCCATCCACGCCGCTAGCAGCTCTAGCTTCATAGGTGAGGGAGGAGGGAGGGAGGGAGGAGGGAGGGTGGAGAGAGGGAGGATGAGAGGGAGGAGGGAGGAGGAGGAGGAGGAGGGAGGGAGGAAGATGGAGGGAGTTTACCGCAACACGGATGGCCATACTCAACAAAGGCTCATCCACGCCGCTAGCAGCTCTAGCTCATAGGTGAGGGAGGCAGGAGGGAGGAGGGAAGGGAGGAGGGTGAGAGAGGAAGAGGAGCGGAAAAGGGAGGAGAGAGGAAGGAGAGGAGGGGAGGGAGGAGGAGGGAGGAGGAGGGAGTTTCCGCACACGTGATGGCCATACTCAACAAAGGCTCATCCAAGCTGCTAGCAGATCTAGCTTCATAGTAGGGAGGAGAGGGTGGAGGGAGGGAGGATGGAGAGGGGAGGGGAGGAGAGAGAGGGAGGTGAGACGGGAGGGAGGAGGGTAGAGGAGGGGAGCAGGAGGGAGGAGGAGGCAGGGAGAGACTCGACACTCTCAGGCAGTTAGCGATACTTCCAAAAAACTCGCACGAAGACGTCACATATATACAACCGCAGGGATGAAAATTAGCAGCGCCAGTCGCCGTGGCTCCTAGTGTTTAACCTAGGGCCCTAAAAACTCTAATTATTCGCCAGGTGGCGAATCAAGCTATAGCCACACTATCCATTTTAGTCTCATAAACAAAAAAGTGAACTGTTTCCACACATTGGATTTTTGCTGAAATAATATGCACACTTTACTTGCACAATAAATGACAGCAATGCTGTAACTGTAGAAGATAAATATGCCAGTAATTACCGCTTTTAACAGAGTAGCATTAAATTCTATGAGCCATTGACTGCTGCTAGTTCATTCATTCACTTTTAGTCCTACAAATAACGTGGCATATCGGAGTGGTGTCAGTATATGCTGCTGCATGGAAGCATAGGCACTAGATGAGTCACAGGTCTATTGCGATAGCCTTCTCAGTGAACACAGTCAACCAAAACCCAGTCTATATAGCTAACTGCTAGATGATTTCCCGATTAACTGTAATGCCTCGTGTACTCGATTACAGTGACCAACAAACCCATCTACATAATAAATGGCGCTTTTTGCATAGAACCAGACGCGTACACATTCCTAGCAATAATTCCGGCGATTTACAGTAAATTCTTGTTGAATAAACAGACGTAGTATAAGAGTTAATAATTAAATAAAATTTTATAATTTAAGTTTCATCAATTAAATACTTAAGTTGCTTATTAAAACATAAAATCTGCTAGCGTAGGTTAATTTGTAGTGTGTAAAACCATACTAAAATTATGTGAGTATATGCTGGGGCATCAAACCCTAATGAGAAAGGAGACAAACACAGGAGAAGAAAGGGAGCCAGCAGGAGTATGAGACAAACAAAGAGTAAGACACTACTGCATTACTTGGGAGAAAAGCAGCCATGGTTGAAGACACGGAGAATGGTTATGATCTGTACTCGTGTAAAGATCATGGCAGACCGACAACACTTATTTGCAGTTGCTGTCAAGCTATAAACTTGACAGTTTAGTAAGATGAAAACGATAAACAAACACGAAAAGCGGTCCTTTTTGCAATGCTAAACACAACCTCGAACAGATCTCAGGCTGCAAGATCATACAGACATAAATGCAGACATTTTTGAGAAACTTGAAAAAGATGTCCGCACTTGCCATGCTCTGTAGCGCAACAACCGACTCTGTCAGATTTTAATTGGCTTGTGTGACTTAATGAGATGAAAGCTTGCGACTTGGAGAACATACAACACACACCTGAGCCAAAGAGTTTTATAAGCTATTGCCAAGTGCACTTCAAAGATCAACCACATTATTAACAAATCGCGTTTTAATATGTGTTATCGGAGATGGCAGCACTGATTCTGCCATTAAAGAACAAGAAATGTGTATGTTCGTACGTCGACTGCAGCCAAGTAGATGTCAAATTTATAGGTGTAAACATCGCCGACAAAGCAGATGCAGTAAATATTGTAATGGCCTTCAGGATCTGCAATTACAAATGTTGACATGAATGGCTCATTTATGCAGAAAATGGTAGCAGTAGCTTGTGATGGAGCAAAGTGTGATGGTGGATGCAAGGCTGGCGTAGGGGCCTCTTCTGCGCAAAGATCAGCCAAGTTTGGTTACCTTCTCATGGCCCATAGGCTAGACACTTTCTTTAAAAGATGCATCAAAGAGTTTGAAGCTGTATGACAAGCTATCTACAGTTGCATGGCCTGTATTATTTTATCACAATAGCAGTCTTAATGCGAGCAATGTTGCGACGCAGCTATGAGGCTCTAACAAACAATGATAGTGCTTTTCTCATACCAACCAGAATAGGTGGAACAAGATGGATTGGACATAAATGCGTGCCTTAACCAACCTATCTCGTCTTACAAGTACATAGGCACATCTTGGCCGCTGACAGAGACCACAGAACGTGTTTCTGCTGACTTCTAAATCCAAGCACACGCTTTCATGAAGCTGCTGAAGTCGAAAGACGTCGTATGTTTTCTCTTGTTTATTGATGATGCTCTGGCACCCTTCACCGTTTGTCATTACAACTCAGGAAAGGACATGTTGATTGCAAGCAGCATTCAGCTATAGCCTCAACATGGAACTATACGAAAATACAAGACAAAGTGATGGCACACTGCGTAAAGTACTGGAAAAGAACCTTGAGGAATACAGGCTCACCAACTGCAGTGCTTACGAATTGGTGCTGCAGATGTAATCTGATAAAAGAAAATCGAAGATGCTTTGAAAAATATTTTCTGAGTTTTATCTCAGAGTGTTGTATCAGCTACGAAGATTGCAATATCAGATGTGGCACATGACTGGGAATCACTTAAAGAATCGTGATGAGACTTCGAATTATTCTTGAACACTTCAAGACAGTGCTGGGGACTGCCAGTGTAGACTTAGAGAAAGTGAGCTGGAATGGATCATACTAAAAAGAGAATACACGATACTGACTTCCAAAGTGGAAAGTCCCTACTGGTTTCTGTTTAATATTCGTACAAAGGGCTAGCTCACATATTTGGCTGTCATGGTCTTATCCTAACCATGTCACCTTCTAGTGCAGAGGCAGAGAGATGATTTTCACAACTGAAGCTTGTTAAACAAATATACGCAGCAACTGCGGACAAACTTCTCTAAACACTGTCTGCTATTAAATGCTTTCTCCTGACATCAAGACTTCAATCCACTAAAGCAATGTCCACCTTGAATGAATCTTGTGTGCGCTCCAGAAGACCAACATCAATGCCAACACAAAACAATCTTCGCTATACACAGTCGCTCAGGTGCTAGAGAATATTCAGGAGACCTTGGACATTGGAGGTCGTAGAGGGATTTGATTCACTACAGGATTCAGATTCAGAGATTGACTCTGAATCCTCTGCATCTGATCTAGATGACATAACAGTGTTTAAAAAATTGATGGAGTGATCACTATAAGTAATCACTAATTAAGTCTTTATTTCAACGTGCATAATGAACATATCTTAATATTTTACAAATGTAACATTCAATTTCAGGTTTAGTTTAAAATTATTGATGTTAAGTTTAAAAAATAAAAATCTTGAAAATGTTTGTTCTTTTTTACTTTCACATTTAGCTGTTATATAAATTGTTAATATACTGTATAAACTGTACAAGATGATGAATAGTTGGGCCTTGATCAAGGTCTGGGCCCCCAAAAAAAAGTTCATAGGGGCCAGTAGGCGACTGGCTAAAAATGTTAAGTTCATCCCTGCAACCACAGAATCTACTTCTGAGCGCGGCAGCAGCCTGGATTCACAGCCTACGCGATACCTGCAAGTGAAGCGTGGCAAGGAGAGGACGCAGACATGTCCATAGACATGGGATGGAAAGTCAGAGATACCGAAGTTGTCCCAATTACGCCGACTTGCACCTACACGCCTCCTGCTGCAATTGATTAGGTGCAACTGTGCGTCGGACTGTAACAGTTTGCGATGCACCTGCCGAAAAACAGCATGCACTGCTCCCCAGCCTGTGGCCAATGCAAAGGTCTGCATGCACCAATCCGACGATCCAATTGATATGACAACGAGGATGAGTAATGTTAACATATGAGCGCATAAGTCAGGTCTCCAAAGCATGACATTTGAACTGCTATCCATGGAACAAATAGACGACTTATGGCGGTGTTTTAGCGAGAACAATAGAAAGCAGTGTTGTGGCCCGCATTCTACTTTGATAACAAAAGACATGTGTACCAGAACGAGTCAGTACAATCGAACGTTTTACTATATTGCGTGCGCATTAGAGAACATAGAAAGTAGTGTTTGGCCCCAATCTGCTTTGAATAACAAAAGACACCAGACGAGTCAGAGCAATGGATTGCGTCTGCTGTTTCTTGATGACGCGCCAACGCGATAATGTTTTGAAATGTCACTCACTATACTTGCCAGAGTTGAATAACAAGTGTCATATTTTAAAAAATATTATTTTTTTGTATTTGTTTGTATTTATTAATACAGATTAAAGTATTTAACCATCCATAATAGTTGTTTTCTTAGTTTCGAGCAAAAATGGCTTGATTCTGGCGATAAAATCAAGGAAACAACAACTTCGCGTTTAGAGCTTCGTTTTCATGTGCAGGACTAGAGCGAGTAGCGGTGAGTCCAATTGGAGGTGTTCCCCTGCTTAGATCCTTAGAGACTTTTAGTATGTTCATTTAGAGGTTTATTGTAACTGGTTAATAATGAAAAAGCTTCTTTTGCAATTAGTACCAGGTCGAATCATAAAATGCCTGGACTACTAAGCCGTGTCTATATTGTAAAGCGAACTATATTAAAATGTTATTAAATGAAGGTACTGTTGGACTGTAAAATTAAAATTTGTACATTCTAACCCCCCCTAAAATTTTCTCTCAACGGATTTAGACGTTTCACAAAATCGACCCTGGGACTGTGAAATCCGCGGAACTCTCATCCCTGAATATAGGAATTGTGGCAATGCTACCCCTTTACCCCTTCACCATCCTTCATAGAGACCTCCTTCACCAGCGATGTCGGAACTCCCAATAGTCGCCTGCGCTGTCCGCCATTGCACGTCTACAGACTCACCGAACGACAGCAGGAGTTTCGAGATGTTGTTTCCGTACAGCGTACTGCTCTGCGTTGGCAGCCTGCTTGGTAGATCGGTGTAGCCGACGTGTGTCACTCCCTTGTACACGTATAGTTCACCCGGCTTCGTCGTCGCAATGTTGCCGCCAGCCTCCGAAGCGAGATCAACCACCACGGACCCGTCTCTCATCGCCTCAATCATTTCCTACGTTCGATATCAAACATCCAGCTGCTAACTTGTCAGTTCATCCAATATCTCGTTGGTTTAACTAACGACTAATAAGCTCAGCCAATAATTATTAGGTTTGACTTGTGTAATCGGTTCCTCAGCTCTCAACTAACTATACTAATAGATCCAGCTAATATACCATCAGTTAATTACTCATTGGTTCATTTAATAACTCATCGGATAAGATAATAAATAATACGTCTGACTAAAATGTTATCGGATTCGGGTAATACGTCGTCGATTCAACTATTAATTAATCAGTTCTCTTATAATACTACTAAAGTGCGACCTTCGACTCAAAAACTGTGTCAGGTACGTTTGGCAAAATACTGACCCTAGATATGAGTTTTGGTGCAGGCTTGCCAGGAATGAGTGCCGTCGTGATGACGATGTCAACTTCCTTGCACTGTTTCATGAACAGATCCATCTCAGCTTTGATAAACTCTGGAGACATCTCCTTTGCATAGCCTCCGGTTCCTTCACCAGATTCCTGGCGAACGTCAAACGAGTTATATAAATCGGCAGATAGGCAACCAATTACTTAAACCTGTTAGCGTTACACTTGAATCATCAGGGCCTAATCCAAGCCATTTTTCATATCAAATACCGGCGTCCAAAGTACGACCCCCTAGCAAAACACCCAAATAACAAAATTCACAAAACGCCCAAATTAGCAGAGCTCTGAATTAAATCTCCATGTTTCTATCGTTATGTAGGCACTGTTTTATAATAAAATGCTCATATAAGATCTATAATCTATTATCTGAATAAAATTTTAATGTTATTATACATCTACGAGCCCTATACCTAAAAAATATTTTCGGCTCTCTGCGCTCGCCAACGGTACTCATATTTTAAGCAGCTAGATTAGCCCCTGATCATGCGTTATTATGGTATAAATGTGTAATTTTGACAATGTTTTTAAACATGCTTCCTTGTTTCCAAAATTATGTGTCTCATTTAATACATATTGTCGTGGTTGTGATGTTATTTACTATATAGCGTGGTCGGTTGCAATTGATCTCTCTGACTGAATTCAAATATATATCCATTTGTTTCCCTAATTCAGAAAAAAATATTCCTCATTTCTAGATGACTGAATTCAAATTACACGAATCAGGTATTGATCCACAACATAACTGAATGCTATTGTATCGTGCATGGTTTTAGATAACCTTGCAAGTGCAAACATTCACACGTGATGAAGGCACGCATGCTATCAAGGGATATAATAACTCCCACGAGGTGCAACAACGCATGGGAAGCTGTTAGAGCTCCACTGTGAATTAACAGGGAAAATTAAACCTAGACATAAACACTACAAATGACAACTTATTGAATAATGTAGACCTGTGCAAGCCGATTCATTTACCTCAATGTCTACTTCTAAGAACTCAGCACCCAAAGACTGCACTTGTTCCTTCACTTCCGCTCTGGTGTCGAAACCACGCACTATGGCACCCATGCTTTTCGCTGTTCCGATTGCCGAGAGGCCAGCAACGCCACCGCCAATGACCAGAACCTTAGCCGGAGGCACTTTTCCTGCAGCTGTGATCTGACCTGTTGCAAGGATGTATATATGGGTTTGTGCAGAGGAATGTTTAATTTACGAAAAAGCATTCGTAGAAAAACACTGCTATGATACTATAATATATAGACTAATGTAATATATGTTGCTTACTATACCACTACTCACCGATTTATTACTTCACTTTTCATTTTATTATACTTTTTGCATCTCCACAGCATGCAGGTTATAGTAAATGACCGACCAAGCAAATATGAAAAAGCGATTCAGGATTTCGATTTCAGAACATTTCTCCCATGATACCTAAACTGCAGTATAATGATAAAACTTCAGAGAATCGTCAGATAACATTCACAGTGACTGAAAAACAATTGCTTAACACCTTGTTCGTACAGGAATAGTAGCAGAGCCTTACGTACATTATCTTATGTGCAAGACCCTTATATGGATTCCTGCAGAGAATTCCCGCGTTGCTAACCGAGAAAAATATCTCATGCATGCTACCACACTCTCGCCCACATGCCTGCCTGCCTGCCCCTCGGCTCCACGCCTACCCGCCCCACGCTGCCGTCGCCGTACCTGTGAAGAAGCGGCCAAAGTGGTTGGCGGCCTCGATGACGCCCTTGTAGCCGGAGATGTTCGACATGGAGCTGAGCGCGTCGAACACCTGCGCGCGGCTGATGCGTGGCACGCAGTCCATGCCGAACAGCGTGATCTTCTTGGCGGCGAGCTGGTCGACGAGCTCCTTGTTCTGCGCCGGGTAGACGAAGCTGATCAGCGTGCCGTTCTGGCGCAGCAGCGGCAGCTCGGCGGCGGCCGGCGCGCGCACCTTCAGCACGATGTCCGAGTCGTACACCTTGTTCTTGTCGCCGACGCGCGCGCCCGCTGCCTCGTAGTCCTGGTTGGAGAACTTGGCGCCGACACCGGCGCCCGCCTCCACGTTGACGGTGAAGCCCTTCTTGGCGAGCGCGGCCGTGACGACCGGGCTGATCGCGACGCGGTTCTCGTTCTTGAAGATCTCCTTCGGGATGCCGATCGTCATCTGCTTGTACGGCGTGCCGCGCGCCGCCTTCGGCTCAGCCTTCTCTGCCTTAGTGCACATCAGCCGGTTGATCGGCTGCTTCACGGCCTTGCCACAGAAGATGGACGCCTTCTGAGCCCCCACGTAGGCTCGTAGCAACTGCATGGTGCCTGCGTGGGAGACGTAGAAAACACTTATGAAAGCACCTTCCTTCAAGGTTCAATCTACAAATTTTCTAGAGAAAATTTCACGATGAACCATAAATATGACGACTTCAGTGACTTGTAACTGATATTACAAGTTGACAGGACTAATGAACTGCCACCAGCAAATTCTCTATGTAATTTACTATTTGTAATTAAATTTTTCAGGCTATATATATTATAATTTTGTAGTATTATTCAGGCTTTCAGATTTGAAAAGTACAGGAGGACTACTAATGACTCCCCTAGGACACCATAGGGGGTCTTTTCACGCTCCATAATCACACCCTTAAGAGGCATGATGGAGAGCTCCACTAAAAAATCACACCCTTAAGAGGCATGATGGAGAGCTCCACTAAAAAATCACACCCTTAAGAGGCATGATGGAGGGCTCCACTAAAAATCACACCTTTAAAAGGGATGATGGAGAGCTCCGTGAGGGCTCTCCATCATGCCTCTTGGTGTGTGATGATGGAATCATGACCAATCCTCAGTCTAGAGTGAAATCCAAAACGGAAATTGGGATGTCATGTCAATCTACTGATTATCATTCATCTTCACCTTCATTCATTCAATGGCTTCGTCAGGATTACATTCTTTTCATCCAACAACCCAACACTAGCACACAGATTAATAAAAGAGTTGATCGGATGTAAAAATAAACTTGTTTTATTTATTCTGATTTCCATCCTTAGAGATTCTAATCCATGTACCTGCATATTTCAGCACAAAATATCATCACAATCCATCAACAAACTAGCCAAATTACTTGTACGTAGTAGCCACGTATGTAGCCCCTCCAGCCCTACGACTGTTTCACGTCGACAGAAAACCACTTCTCGTCACGTATAGTAGAAAACGAGCAGGTAACTTGTGGCTACCGTATAGGTACCTGTATTTGGATGCTGTTGTTTAGTTGTATTTATATATATATATAAACCAGAGGGTAGTAACCAAACCTGTACCTCTGCCATACGTTCAGTTACTTACACACCACAAATAGTTGTGTGTTGCTAACCTTTTTGTACCCCCCTACATTGAGAACTCTATGGAGCGCTATTTCAACATAATAGACATACGTTTGGTGCGCGATTTCAACCACTTTTATGAGGCGCGATGATGCGCGCACCATGGCACAATTTCGGGTGCGCGGTGGAGCGCGAGCGCGATCGCGCCCCTTAAAAATGAAAGCCTGATTATTTGTTCATTTGGCTCCATTCATGGAACATAAACTTTACTTTATTTTAAAATCAAGTAGGTCAGAATAATTTAAACTTGAGGGAATTCAGCATGTCACATGCAGACTAACAACAATAAAACTATTTTTAGTATCCTGCTCAACTTTCCGGATCGAATTACCATTCATACTGTGTACTTTGCTGTTCTTTTCCAGTAAAACCAACATGCACGATACACACGTGCACCTTTTTATCCAGGCAAAAAAACCAATGGCTTCATTTCTCATTTTTAATCACATAAAAAACGTACTTCTTTTCGGGTAAGACTTCAGAGTATATTTCGCATTAACTTGACAATAATAAAATGCTTCAATTTACAACGTGTTGCCTACGATGTTACAGAGAAATTTTAAAGGGACAGTAGCCTCTAGGATTTTACTGCATACAACTGTACTTACTGTATAACAAATCGTTTATACCCACACGTATTTGTTACCAGATACCTAATTTAATTGTTATAATTATTTACACATCAACGCTACAAAATTTGAACGGCGCCATGACACCCGTGACCGTGCTGCCACCTCAAAAAAGTTGCGTATTTGATAATTTATTTTGCACGTTACAGACCGAGGGCTAATCACAAAAGTGCAATTATATTTATACCTAAATGCTATTTAACCAAACGATATTCATTTTAGGGCAAATTTATCCATATTATAACTGAAACTATATGTCGTTTATAAGATATTACAATCCTTTTGCTGTTAAATGAATAAATAAGAAACACCCTCGGTCTGTAGCTTTTGGCTGGAAAGTGGTTTTGCGCAACTTATCAGATCGTGCGCTTTGAGTGGCGCCACCGTCGTTGTAATCAAACTGTAGTCGTTGGTTTTAAAACATTTTTTTTAAATATTTTGAATAGTGATTGAACCATGAAACTTTTCATTTAGCATAATTATAACCTAAATTAGCTGAAAATAACCCTAGAATCTAGAGTAAACTCTCCCTTTAAATAACTTAAAGCATAGAAATCTTATAACATGATATCCTGAAATATAGGCTTTCATTGAAGTTAGATCTATTTATAACTTCAGCCGGTATTTGTTACATATTTTGTTACTGTATTACCAAAAAGTGATAACCATAATGGATATATTATAACCTTAACTTTTCACTTACACCCAACAGCCAAGCATCTAAAACATGAAGCTTTATACGCAACTAATAAAGCAGTTAAATAAATAAAGATATATTTGTAGCGATGCATCACAGTCGTATAGGAAGAAAATTATGTCACGTCTTTGCAAATATGCAATGACAGCTTTGTTATAGAGATCATCAGCTTATCTTGGAATTAATGTATAATATATGTGTTATATTAAACTTGATTTTACATCAACTTTGGTAGAGGCACGTATTAATTTATTAGTATTAGTACTATTACTAGTATCTATACTATTAAAGTAAGACATTTCCGCTAAAAACTCCGAAGGGGGTGAATGGCTGGGCGTGAAATGTACACCACGTATCGACAATGATTCCGTATCCTGCCTCTCAACTTTGGAAGAAAATGTAACCTCCGAAAATGTAATTTTGCGAGGGAAACCTTTAAAATCTGTACACAATCTATAAATAGAACGAGGGAATATACACACAGCATCACGTACGTGTCAATCCATGATGTATTACTGTAATGTCGCAGTGTCCTCATCGCTAGGACATTTGTCTCCTACAATGGGATTCCGTGTTCGAGTCCCAGATGGGGAACTTATTTTCCCCTTTTTTCCTTTCTTCCCTTTACCTAGGTACCTCTTTAGTATGTATTATTTTTCCCTCCGGAGTTTTCAGCCAAAATGTCTTACTTTAATAGTATAGATTTATTTTTAATTTATAAATTTATTTAATTTATTTTTTAATTTATTAATTATTTTTATTTTTAATGTCTTTTATCTTTTGATTTCTTATTTATTTGGGATGGGAGGGGATGGCATGGGATGGCATGGGATGGGATGGGATGGGATGGCATGGGATGGGATGGGATGGGATGGCATGGCATGGCATGGGTATGTCATGGGATGGTCATGGGATGGATGAGATGGGGATGGGATGGGATGCGATGGCTGGGATGTGGATGCTGATATGGGATATGGCGATGGATGGCCATGTAATTGGGATGGGATTATTGGAATTCTCATAGCATGGAGATAGATAGTTAGATTTTTTGGGTATTTTCCTTTCACCAGCGGTCAAACTAGTGTAACGCCACTGATTTCCCGGGCGCAACGCCGGTGTTGCCGTAGTTAGTATTAAATCAGTAAAATAAGCTAAGACGGTAACGAACAGAGAAACAGAAAGTATAACTTACTTTACTGCGAGAATACTGAGAGCTTAGAAAACGTTTTTAGTTTTGGCGTACCTTGTTTATTCTTTACGACGGCTAATTGGTATAATATCGGTTTTTAGTAAGGAAAAGCCGTTAATAACTACATTGTTTAGCGCGGTTAATTGGCGATGAACTGCTAGAAATATCTTCCTATGGCCTACTCACTACTGTATATTGTAACCCGTACTCGTTTGACTTTAGGAATGGAACTTGGCGCTGAATCTTGTAATTTCCGCGATATGGATTTCTGGCCAGACACCAGACTTATAAGACTATTGTCAGTGCACACGCTTACTAATATGCGAGGTTAACCGTACAATTGTACTACCTCATATCCATACTTACGCATTCTTCATATACACCTGCCCTATCGTCAGCATGCTACGAATGATCGACCTCAGAGAATTAACGACTCGGAACAGAACGAAATCAAACAACCCGGGCAGCGCGTCGAACAGCAGCACGCGGCACCTCATCAGCTGCGACCTTGACTATGAACTGACTAGCGAGATTTAAAGCTGTCGGCTCTGTAGCACTAGTGCTCTTTGCATGCATTCGCACACAGTCATTCGTTAGACGTCAGGTGAGCGTCAGCGTTTCACTTTCGCCACATTTCTGACGTAGTGCGTGCGCAGGCGTGGGTTATTACGAGAACGTTTCGTAGTTGAAAGATTGGCTTTCTCCACTTCAAGTACGCGAAAGCTGCTTTATGGCAGTGGTCATCGTCACAGAAGAAGCGTTGCTGCAACTGGAGCAGCCGCCGCTTCAAGAGGATCTGTTAGATTGCAGTTTGAATTTTTTAACTTTTTTCGTCCATGCATGAGTTGCTGGTCGTCTCAGGTGGATCATGCTGATTTTGCGATTCACCTTCACTGAGCATAGGAAGAGTGCGCTAGGGTCACATACTGATTATGTTGAAGGCTAAGATGTTCATCGATCATTTTATTTTATTATAGTCTTATATATTTAATAATTTTTTATCTTAATTTAATTTCATATCTTTATCATTTGGCTTGTTATAGTTTTTGTTCTCCCTGTCCACATGTCAGAGCATTATGTTTTATAACGATCTGGCGGTCGATACTTTCGGATAGTCATTTGATTTGGCTATTCATTCCGATCGTTAATTTGATCGTTTGAATTAAGTGATTTGCTGTCTATACTGTTGAGAGGCGTCTAATGCCCCGCCGAGAGGTACTGCCGGAAGTACCTGTTGTGAGCTAGTCTATATGCGGAACCGTTTTACCTCGCCTACTCCACCAACGAGTCGCGCTAGCGCTACTCCTACCCTAACCACTATCCTACATATTCAGCATTAGTTTACCAGAGTACGTTCCGGTCTATATCCGGAGTCCCCGAACGCTACCAGTATACGCTCCGGCAGTACCCCTGGGCGGACTATG